GGCGCTTAGGGACATGGTTTAGTGGGCATGGTGGTGTTGGGTTGACGGTTGGACTTGATCTTAGAGGTCTTTTCCAACCTTAATGATTCTATGATTCTATGATTCTAAGTCCTTTAGCAGCTGGGATATGCACATCTATGTCACACCAGTTTTTATACTCAGTAGACTGCTGCTGCTTTTCCCCTCTCAGTTTCCTCTTAGTTTAACCATTCTGCTCATTTTCTCAGCAAATGGAAAACTATTTTTAACCACACGCTAAATACAGAGGATTTAATTGCAAAACTCTGTAAAAGTTGCAAACAGCAGACCATGGAGTTAGAACAGCAACTTCTGCAGAAGTCTAGCTAGAAAGTCCAAGCCACCATGCCTTTTGAATAAACATATTGGTACCAAACCAAATAAATAATACTGACTGACTGCCGATATCAAATAAGAAAATAAGCAAGTTAGTGTAATCAAGTCAAAGGACTACTTTGGCCACTTCATTTGAAACTGTCATTCCCCAAATCCCAACCAACACCCATCTAAGCCTGCCAGAGCCTGAAATCCTGCATCTCTCTCAATATTCTGGATGAACATGGTCAAGTGGCAATGAGGCAGGAAAGGCTGAGAGAGCCCTTGGGCGTAACAGTTTAGGGGCTGGCAGTCAGCACTTCCATCAGGGCACATAAGGCCTCCTATCCTGGGTGAGTGCTTATCTGAGCAACAAACAGGATGCTAACATGCTTCAAGAACCACAAAAAGCCTATTGGGTAAAGAAGGGAGTACTGTTTTATCTGTCTTTATACATGCATTCACACACATATATACACATACAGATGTCCTGAAGGGTTGCGTTAGGTTCCTTATTTCAGGAAAGGACTCAGGATTACGGATCCCAAATGGGGGAAGGTGCCATCCTTCACACCTGTGATGCCCAAATCCTTGAGACACACGTCCTGCTTCCTGCTTCCCCCTCTCTCCCCTTCTCACCAAGCCACAGCACGCTTTTGCTTGCAAAGAAAAATACTTTGAGCTTTTATTTTTCCTTGCAAGGAAAAATACTTTGAGCTTTTTTTTTCCTTGCAAGTGCAAAACCTGGTGCACTAGAAGCTTTGATGAATCATGGGGTAATATTTAAATTTTACTCAGCTTTTTGTGAATTGGGTAGTAAGTTAATAAATTCCATGCTAGGTCAATGAGAAAGAATTGGAATGTGTTTTAACTAAACTAAATCAAAAATCAAATGCTAAGAGTTGTCTTTTATGAGTCAGCTTGTCTTGGCTTAAAAGACACAAGTGCATGGTTAAATAAAGACAAATTCTAATTTACATTTATTGTAATGCAAAGGTAAACAATAGAATATGCTACCCACGTTTCTAGTAGACATTATTTTTCTAATGTAAATTGTTGATTAATGAATAATGTAAGTGAGTTGACTTGAAGAGAAGTGTTTTAAAGAATGGCTTTTGGAGACCTGTGTGGCGGGGTTGTGATGACTCTTGCTATGCCCAAGCACAAACAGTGGTGTAACATGTTTTTCTCAGAACTGACTTTGACATTAGCAGTAAAAAACAGTTACCTTCATATTTGGCTTGGGTTTTTTTATGCAAACATATCTGTCTACAATATTTTTGCATTTTTGAGACCGTACAGAGGAATGTACCTAAAAACCTAACAAATATATTTGAAATGTAATTAATTGGTTAAAATTACCAGCTGCTTCTTGTAACTGGTCTCTACTTTGCCTGCTAGCTGCTGTGGAGCTGGTGTGAAGTACCTAATTCTTCCCCTCTGCCATACAGAAAGCCCTGATGCATAACTTGAGGGCAGAAATTTTATACATGAAAGAGCAGTGCCCAGTGGTTAGCATATTTGTGAATACAGTCCAAAACACTCAGTGTCTTGACAAGTTTTCTAAAATAAAGTGATTGTGGAGTTATGCACATTGAAAAATAAAACAAAAAAATGCTATAAAAATGCATAAAATAGAAATAACATCTTTTATTGGATAGGAAATTAAAAGAACAAGAATGTTTTTAACCGCATTTATTTTGAGTGCTATTCTGCCAGTCCAAGCAGTGATAGGAACTAACCTCGATCAGGACTGCACTGTTGTAATGCCATCTACTGGAAGCAACTAAATTTACCAAGATAATACTGTAACATTACAATTTCTCTGTAGCTTAGTCATGATTAGAAGTGAATGGGGGGGGGGGGGTGATTCCTTCCACAAATAGAAAAAACTAGAAAAGGCTTGTTGAGAGATAACACCCTGTTTGATATAGCCAAGACAGAGTCTCGTCTTGGAGTACCAAATGCAGCCTTTGATCCTGGTGCTCGGAAAATCGGAAGACTACTTGTAACCCTGTGGTAAAACAATGATCATTGCTATTAGGAACAGATTCAGTATTGGACAAGATTTTATATCCCACCCAATTTTCCAGAGAGGATGTTGGAGACAAACTAAAACCTCTCACTCTGTGAGACTGTAATTTAGCACTGGCAGACCAACACCGGTAAGTTCTGTCCTCCCTTATCAGCCACATGTTAATTATTCTGTTTAGCCAGGGAGGGGAAGTCAGTAGTTTCCTTGTCACCCTCTGGACTGCGAAGGAGGTCTGTGAACAGAAAGAAGTCCTGCAGCCCTGGGAGATAACTGGAAATTAGTTACTAAACAGCAGGGCAGTAGAAAGCCACTTGTTCAAACTGAAATCACGTAGTGAGAGGAAAAATAGTTACAAGACCCAAGCGATACATGCCAACAGAACCAAAGAGGGTTTTCACAGATGTGGTTAAACATTTCCTCCCAAAGGAAAGCGGAAACCTGTGGTGTTTGGGGGAAGAAAGTTCACTTTGCATCTGTTTGGCAGAATGAGAAATTACATGATGTATCAGGCCTTCAGACAGCCACACACTCTGGGACCTCATGTTAGTCAAGAAACACAGCTTCTGAGGAGGTCCCGATGCAGACAATTTTTGTGATCAAAGTGTAGCAGCTGAAGAAGGAATTTTGTGTCCCTTCTCCATGAATCCAGTAGTGCTCTGTGGTCAAAGCAGCTGCTTTCCAGTCTGAACATACAACATCAGCCAAACATCAGGGCTTTTAGGTCTAGCATAATCCCTTCTGAGTGTGCTTATGTTGCTTTCAGGAATGGATTTAGTACCTCTGCATGGTGTAGTGCTATTTTAGGAGCTAAATGCTCCATAGTTTCATTGGCCAAACTACAAGAACAGGGCAGAGCAAGCCAGAGGACCTCTGGGCCTGCTTACTGTGCAGAA